ACAGGTGCTCTGGGTGCCAGCTCTGTGGGGAGGGCAGGCCGGAGGGAGGAACCTGGAGGGGCTTGTGAGCTAGTCCAAGTCCCCAGAAGCCCAGCAAAGGCAGATGCGAAGCCCATGCTGGGCAGCGGGACCAGCTCTTCCACCTAAGGTCTGAGGCCTGCCCTCCTGAGGGCCCCAGGAGAGCACAGCCCCTCAAAAGGCAGCAAGCAGACTGGTCTGTGACACAGGGCTAGGAGGTGTTCATGGCCGGCACAGAAAGGCCTTCTAAGTCCATGCTGAACCCCAGCATCACAGCCCATCCCTGAGCACCAAAGGCCCCAGGGTACCAGGCTCTGGGTACTGAGAAGCTTCGTGAAGGGCATCCTGAGGGTCCTGCCCTGATCTTGCACTCTTTGCACAATTTTAGGAGGGAAGCTGCCACGGACACGGCAAGCAGCCACGGGATGGAGGACTGGCTGGGGCAGGGAGGACACAGGGCCCTGCCCTCCGTGATCTGGGCCTCGCCTGCCCCTCAACACACTCCCCACTTCCCTCCTTGCTCCAGCCAAAGTGCTCCCTGCTCTTCCCATGGATGGTGCCTTTGTTCAAGGCCTGCACATGCTGTTCCTTCTGTCTGGAACACGCTTCTTCCTTTTCTTCCCCTTCCTAATTCCTGATTCATTTTGCATGTCTCACCTTAGAAGCCACTTCCTCTAGGAAGTCTCCCCTCTTTGTCCTGCTCCAATCTGGGCTGGCTGTCTCACCTTTGTGCTTCCAGGGTATCCTACATCTCTCTCGCAGCCCTCACCCCTAGCTGGAGTTGCCAGCTTACTCATCTGCCTTCCCTGCCAGACCAGAAGCTTCCAGAAGGTAGGACCTGGCTCTGCCTTGCTCAGTGTTATATCGCAAAACCCTAGCCCAGTGCTTGGTACTCAGTATGTTCTCAATAAATATTTTTGAATGAACAAGTGAATATGTGAACAAAACCACTCCCAAAGGACACGGTAATTTTCCAGGCTCAGTGGAAAGATCTCCTCCCAGCCCTGGCATTTCTCCCAAGTGGATGCCTGGCCTTGGGCACAGGTCCCCTGCATGCGTGTGCACATGCGCATCATGCTCACCTCTTGCTCAGCTCCTTCAGGGCGCCGCTGCGGCACAGGCCCAGGTAGTCCCCAAGGAGCTTCAGCTGCTCGCGGCTCCGCCCAATGAGGCGCATCTGCTCCTCGTGCTCGTACAGAGACGGGTTCACCAGCTGCAGGTTGATGAGGGGCTGGGCCTGGATCTGCTTCAGGAACTTGAGGGCCTGTCGGCAGACCTGGGGCGCCGGGGGCGGGAAGAAAGGCTGTTCAGTGGGCACCTCTGGGCCGGGCACGACATTACCTACTCATTCACCTGAAGTACTAGCTTCATTTTACAGTTGAGCAAACAGGTTCAGAGAGATGAAGCAACTTGGCCAAGGTCACACAGCTCATAAATGGTACAGTTGAGACTTGAACCCAGTTTATCTGACTCCCAAACCCACTCGTCCCCAATGGCAGCTGCCCCTCCCAGCTGTGTTGAGACAGAGGAGGGCCACTCTGATCACCGCCCCTTCCCACGCCTTCCTGTCCTCCCAGCCCCATTTTCCTGCCTGAAGGAAACAGGCGCTCCCCTGGGGGCCCTGACTCAGGAACCAGGTGTCTAGTCTGAGTCAGGCTCCAGCCACAGGAAGCCGTGGATCAGACACAGCTTAGCAAGAGGCTTCCCCTCCTCGCGGCTCTCCCAGCAGCAACCACCAGGGCCCCCCCGACCCTCATGTGAAGTTGAGTGACCAACCTCGGCCTCTCCCAACTGATAGGGTGTTGATGGTTCTACCCTCGGTCCTGACCCTGATGCCAATGCCAATAACTGAGCACCTTCTATTTGCCAAACACTGGGCTAGGGATGTTGACCACATCCCACCTTCACCGTCAGAACAACCCCTGAGGGAAAGTGTCCCCATTTTACAGATGAGGGAACAGGCTCAGAGGAGCTAACGTGGTGTATCCAGCCTGCCTGTGGAAAGGGAGCCTGGGCCTGACTGAGGTGCCGTCTCTGAACATCAGGCTGCCATGCTAGCTAAGGAGAAGTCCCTCTCCCCTGCGGCGTCCCCACTGCATGGTAAGAACAGGAGCTGAGACGTTCCCCACGGTCGACTACTGTGCAGCGGTTAGGAGTCCAGCTCTGGGGTCACACTTGGATTGAATCCTGCCTCCATCACTTCCTGCCTGTAGGACCTTGTGAAAGGTATCCTCTCTGTGACTCAGTTTCCTCATGTGTAAAATGGGGAAAATAAGAGCACCCAAGGCCTGTGGGTTTGGGGCCTTATGTGCGCTGTTGCCGCTCTGGCTGACCCACTCGTGCGGAGGCCTGGCTGGCACTAGCCAGCATCTGCCTGGGACTGGGGCTTCTTTCTCATGGGATTATTTTGAGTTTAGATGAACAGAGGTCACCTACGTGAGCTCCTGGCACAGGGCCTGGCATGTAGCACATGCTGGGTAAACGTGTGCTGCTGTTGGCTGCTGTGTGAGTGCCTGGTGTGGCCCTGCTGTCCCCTTGAGGGCTGGGGGCTGGACAGGCCCTCAGGAGACCTGCCCCTGTATTCAGGGGCTGAGAAGACCTCTGGCCTCCTGTGTCCCAGCTCCACCAGCATCTCCCGCCTCCCCTGGCAATGGATGACCCCTTCTTTTTCCACATCCTAGGGCCCTGAGGTACCAGCCCCTCGGCCTAGGGGCAGCCCAAGGGCAAACTCCCCTGGTGACTTAGGTCACGCTGCTGTTCCTCAGCCCCAGCCCAGCTCTTCCCGTGACTCAGCCCCAGGCCTCGGGTGAGGCTCAGATGAAATAACACGCAGGAATGTGTGCTGCACACTGCCAAGCGCTGCAGATGGGCAGGGGCCTCATGCCCCCTGGGGGCTGTTCCCACCCTGTGGGAATGGAGGAGACAAAGAAGCCCTAGGCCTGGGCTGACACCCTGCCAAGTGCCAGCCAGGCCTTGGCTCAAGTGGGTCAGCCAGAGCAGTGGCAGTGAATGATAGGGCCCCGAACCTATGGGCCAGCTAATTTACTTTGAATTTTCCTGTCTTTCAGGCCAGTGATCTCTGAGAGCAAGATAGGGATTTTCTGATCTCAGATATGCCTTGAAAAGTATTGTGATTTTCTAGTTAGAAAAAGGAAGTGGTACAAGGATTACCGCAAATGAATGAGAGACGGCGCAACAGAAATATCAGGGTCTTGTTAACAGCAAATGTGTTTTATGGTCAAAGGGTTCATTGCATTTTTGGTAATTTTAATATTTTATTTTATATTTAATATTTTAATTGTACTTACTATTTAATTTAACATTTAATTTTCTCTGTATAGTTAGTTAAATATTTAACACTGAGGGCAGGGGTAGGGACAAAGTAAACAATAAAAAATCCCAAATGAAGCCAACTTCTTTGGGGTTTCCCCTCCTCAGGGAGGTGGAGGCTGGGGTGGAACTGGCTCAGTCACCTCCGTGTCCTCTGATGAGGATACAGCCACACCAAGCCTGCACGGCCACAGCTTCTTCCTCATGTTCCTGTGCCTGTCTTAGTAGAAATCTGTGCCTTTGGAAGAAAGCCAAGTTTGTGCCCTTGGGGCAGACCCTGACCAATGGGATTCAGGACAGGACGAGTGGCAGGCCTTGGGGAGGGAAAGGCCACCCTGCTACACCTGTCCTCCCAACACCCCACACACACTGTTACAACCCCTTTTACAGATGAGGAACTTGAAGTGAATTCGCTTTGGTAACACAGCTAGAAAAGCGGCTAAACTCAGCTGGAGAAGAGGAAAACCTGAAAGATCTTAGAGAACATCCTATTCGAAAGTATTTGTTGAACATAAAAAAGTACGTAAGATATAGTACGCATCAAGCATGTTATAAAGCAGTGTAAGGCCAGTATGATCCCAACTTTTATAAAAAGTAGATGCATATGTAAGTAAGTGTGCAGAAAAGGGTATACCCTGAAATGTGACAGTGATTATTTCTGGGCTATGACACATAATTTTGATTTGTCTTTGGGCTTTTCTGTAATTTAAAAATGTTAAACAATAACCATGTATTATCTTAATAATGAGGGGAGCTCCAGAAACAATGCTCTTTAAAAACATGAAATAAGTAAGCCCATGTAGGGCCTGCAGGGCAGTGCAGTTACCTGGGCCTAGCAGGGTTTGCAAAGGCAAGGCTGATACCAAGTGGTGCAGTCAGGCGGCTGGCCAGCCTATCTACCCATCTACCTACCCATTCATCTGTCCATCCTATATAGATAGGATATATATCTAATCTATCCTTCCAATCCATCCATCCATCCAGTTGCTGGTCCCTTAAACAGTTTTGTCTGTTGCTACAGAGGACCATCCTCAGACTCCCACCTTGGGACCAAGGAAGGCATTGACACAGCTCTGCCCAGGGGCTGTGGACAGGCACCAAGCCTCTCTCTTGGTTAGCCGCCCCACATTATTGTGCCTGAACCAGTGACACTAGCTTCCCTAGAGCCAAACTCTTCCAAACAGATCGAGAGCAGCAAGGAGGGGACACTCCTCCGTCCCTCAGCAGCCCTGTGTGGCCTTGACAGGCTGGGCTCCAGACTTACCGGGCGCTTGGTGAGGTCCCAGTTGTGGATGATCCTGGCCGGAATCACTGAGGCATCATCTTGGTGGCAGATGTCACAGTAATAGAGGCCAGAGAAGGCACAGAGCTTGGGTCGTACAAAGGAGAAGCCGATCTGCCGGGAGCAGCCTGCAGAGAAAGGGTGGTGGGTGAGAGGCAGGGCCAGAGTCAGCTCCTACAGTGACATGGTAGCTACTATGGTGGAAAGGACCTGCTAGTGAATTTTTAAATTTTATTATTTTATTGATTTTTGAGACAGTCTTGCTCTGTCTCCCAGGCTACAGTGCAGTGATGTCATCATAGCTCACTGCAACCTTAGACTCCTGGGCTCAAGCCATCCTCCTGCCTCAGCCTCCTGAGTAGCTGGGACTACAGGTGCACATCACCACACCCAGCTAATTTTTTCTATTTTTAGAGACAGGGTCACACTCTTGCTCAGGCTGGTCTCCAACTCCTGAGCTCAAGCGATCCTCCCGCTGTAGCCTCCCAGGGTGCCAGGACTAGATTACAGGCGTGAGCCACCGTGCCCAGCTTTAATTTTCTTTTAAAGGAAAGATAAAAATAATCATCACTCAGATTGCCACCACTCAGAATCAACCCTAATTCAGTCTCTAAGGGCCGTAAAGGAAAAAAAAAAGAGAAAAAGAATAAAGAAAAATAAGAAGAATCAACCCTATTAATTAATCTTTATGACAACACACTGTAAGAATTATCATCGTCATTTTACAGCTGAAGAAACTGATGCTCAGAGACATTAAAAAATCTTCCTGGTCACACAACGATTAAGTGGCATTGCTGGCATTCAAATCTGGGTTTGGTTGGTTCAACCCACTTTCTGCTCCATTACCCCTGGCTGCCTGTGTTCAACGTCTCCACTGCTAGCTCAGCAATGCCAGCCTCCCCTAGGCCCACTCCTCCAATGGGGCCCAGAAATGGAAGCAACTAAGTCGGGGCCTCGGCAAACAGAGAAGGAGCTGGGGAGATGGGGCTGGCCCTGGGGAGGGCAGTTTGCACACGGCCTGGTGCCAGCTTAAACCCAGAGCTGCCTGATACCTCGGGACAGTGGGGCAGGGCCAGCTTCAGCCTCCACAGGTGGAGGTCCCTCCACAGTGAGGGGTGGGGGAGGTGGGATGAGGTGTGCCCAGGGCAAAAAGCTAAGGCCCAACTCAAATTCTGAACACGTGCTGTGCCGCCCCCAGGTCTTGGGACCAGAGGGCCCACAATGCTGCTTACCAGCCACCTCATCCTCCACTTCACCTAATTTTTTCAGGGTTCCATTTCAGAGTTTGTAAAATTCAGTAACTACCAGCTATTTTGTGGGGTTATTACAAAGTTTAAACATGACAAGATTCTAAAAATGCCCTGCAAACTATGAAATCCAACCCAGATGCCTGCAGTCGGTGTCTGGCCACTGAGCTGTGTGTGCTGGGTGGAAATGAAGCCCAAGCTTCCCGGTGTCACACATGATCCCGCTGGCAGGCTGGTGGGTGGCAGCCATGGTGAGAGCTGTCCCTGCAGGGTTCATGCCCATGAGCGGGGAACCACTCCTCAAAAGCCCTGGAGTCCTGGCCACCTCCCAGCCTGGCCCCCACAGGCTAAAGAGCAACGTGTGAGTGCTGGGGTGGGTGGGGTGAGGCTGAACACTGGCTTGCAGGTGGTTTCTGCAGGAAGCTCTGCACTGCCTCGCTTGTCCCACCATCTGGGGGCCAACCGCAGACCACTTCCTTCTAGATGCTTGAAGCAGGCTTCCCTCTAGTCTACTTCAGCAGGACAGCTCCCAAACCAAGGCTCAGCCTCTTGCTCTGGCCTTCTGCAGCAGGACAACCTCCTCGCAGGCCACCTGAGGGCACCATGGTGATGGAGATGCCACCTCCCCCTGGATAGCAGGGAGTGGGAAGAGGTAGCAATGGAATGTGGGCAGAGGGACATCATGCAGCCCTGAATGATACAAGGGTGGGAGGCCCTCCGGGGTCCTGCCTATGAGCACAGGCTCTGGTGCTCGACCACCAAGGTCTTCCCACTGACTAGCTGTGTGAACCCAAGACAAAGTACTTACCAGCTGTGTGCCTCAGTTTCCTCATCTGTAAAGAGAGACAATAGCAGCGCTTATCTCTACAGGCTTGTTGTGAGGATTAAATGAGATAATCCAAATAAGCATCTGACCCAGTGCCCAGCACGAAGTATTAGATGAGAGTGGTGGGGCAGGTGTGCTGACTTGGAACATCCATAATGTATTATTATACTAAGTAGGAAAAAACCAAGTTGCAGAACAATATACAGTTGACCCTTGAACAACATGGGTTTCAACTGTTCGGGTCCACTTATACGTGGATTTTCTTTCACCTCTGCCACCCATGAGAAAGCAAGACCAACTCCTCTTCCTCCTCAGTCTGCTCAATGTGAGGATGACAAGGATGAAGACCCTTATGATGAGCCACTTCAGTTTAATGCATAGTAGATATATTTTCTCTTCCTTAGGATTCTCTTAGTGACATTTTCTTTCCTCCTGCTTACTCCATTGTAAGAATACAATACTGCGTATCCCAAAAGTCTCCATACAAAGGGAAGTTTCATAAAATTTTGTGATATTTTGTAAATAAAGGTACATTTAGCTACAATTTCCCACTTTCCCTATGAATGGTGACTTTTGGGACACCCTGTGTATAACATATAAAATATGTTAATCGACTGTTTATGCTATTGGTAAGGCTTCAGGCTGACAATGGGCTATTAGTAAAGTTTTTGGGAAGTCAGAAGTTATATGTGGGCCAGTGGACACAGTGGCTCGCACCTGTAATCCCACCACTTTGGGAGGCCGAGGTAGGAGGACTGCTTGAGCCCAGGAGTTCGAGACCAACCTGAGTAACATATTGAGACACTGTCTCTACAAAAAATTTAAAAATTAGCTGAGTGTGGTAGCACGTGACTGTAGTCCCAGCTACTCGGGAGGCTGAGGCAGGGGGACCACTTGAGCCCAAGAGTAGCTTAGCATCTTCTCAATAACCTGGGTGACAGAGTAAAACTCTTAAAAAAAAATTTTTATATGTAGATATTTGACTGCACGGGGTCGGGGGGGAGCCAACACCCCAACCCCTGCATTATTCAAGGGTCAATGATACATACAGAGGTGCTGTCCAATACAGTGGCCATAAGCCACATAGAACCCTTTACATTTAAATAAATGTAAATGGAAAATTCAGTTCCTTAGTCATGCTAGCCACATTTTAAGCCCCCAGTAGCCACATGTGGCTCATAGCTACGGCCCTGGACAGTGCAGATCTAGAACATTTTCATCATCACAGAAAGTTCTGTTGGACAGCCCTGAATAGCATAAGCCCCTCTTTGTAATTTAAAAAATTGTGTCTACTTGCAAAAGTATGCAGAAATATTTGGAAGGATATCATGCCCTCGCTCTGAAAGAATGCGACAGCACAGTAATAAGATGAAGAGGGGTGGGACTCCCAGAGCAGCAGCAGGTAGCACGGCTGCCACCCCAGGTCCCAGCCCCCAGCAGGAGGGGGCAGGAGAGGGAAGGAGAGTGGGGTCCCCTGCCTGTGAGCACGAGCACCAGCCCCAGTGCATGCTGGGGCGGAGTAGAGGCCACAGGACAAGCCTCATCTGCTGCCCCATCCCAGGGGAAGGACGGCGCACTTGCGGGGAGGCAAGAAGGGTGGAGAGCCTAAATCAGGACCCCGCAGGAGGCAGAGTGAGGCTGGCTGGCAGACTAGGGGTGGCAGGAGAGCAGGTCAGCACCTGCACAGAAGCAGCCCTGGGAGTCGAGGCCTTTCTCCGTGGGGATGGCCACCAGGTACTGCAGTAGGAAGCCGTTCTCGCGGGTGGCGAACTTCAGCACCTCCTGATAGTTTTCATCCAGACTCCCGCTGAGCGTCACTGCCTCCTCAGCTGTCTCCAAGTAGGACGCCAGGACCTTGCGGACCAGATCCCTCCACAGGGCAGCCTCCTCGGCATTCCCAGCCTGCAGCTTCAGGACGGCCTTGGCCGTGATGATTTTAAAGAAGGATGGGCCCCCGAGGCTCGTGTCTGGCAGGATGTCTCTGATGGTCTCAATGCCATGGCTGTCGCTTAGCATCTTCTCGTTGTTTCTCACACGGAAGCATTTCAAAGACTCCAAGGACAGGGAAAAAATACAGGGCACCCAGGTCCTGTCCGTGTACAGGTACAGAAGGGACTCCTTAATAGCGTCTGGCTCTGGAACTTGGGCAGATGACCAGTCAAACTGCGTGCCCTGGAGGGTCGCAGGCTCCGAGAGCAGGTCCGGGTGAGAGGGGCGGCCACCCTGGGGCACCTCAGGGGGCCCCTCAGGCTGGTCTGGGTACTCGATGTTCACCCATTCATCCTCCGGCTGAGGCCGGGCCTTCTGCAGGGCCTCCCGCACGCGGTCCAGCCAGTCCTCGGCTTCATCCTGGGACGAGGCTCGCAAGGCCAGCTTCTTGCCAGAGAACACCAGCTCGAAGCGCCCGTCACTGTGGGCCGGCCCCACAGCCTCGCAGCGCAGCAGGGAGCAGTTCTCCACACAGGTGCGCTCCTCGTCGCTCAGGTAGAGGCGGAATTCCAGTGGGGAGAGCTCACAGAAGAGTTCCTTCCAGATGCCCATCGCCCCCCGCCGCTCTACTGTGCCCAGTTTCATGAGACCCCGGAACGGGTTGGACAGCCCTGGAGGCAGAAAGAGGCATGTTAGACTACAGGCCTGTCCCCTCATTGCCCAAGGCAACCTCTGGTGCCTGATGTCCTGTTGTGGGTGTGGACACAGGACTGCCCCCAGAATGGCCAGACGTGGGGCACTGTCAAACGGGCTTCTGAAAGTCAGATGGGGATATTTTTTGAGCGCCTCCACCCCATCCTCCCCCTCTGCAGTTGACCTTGCTTCTTGTATTTCACTGAGCAAATAAAAGCACTCAAAAGATTATCTCCATGCCCTGATCACCACACTCACCCCCTTCCCTCCTGTCACTTCTGTGTGAGGCCAACCCCCCCACCTGTGCAGGAGGTCCCCTGCCACCTACTCGAGGACAAGGACATCTCACCAGCAGTTCTCCCTCTCTCTCCTGGGTCGTTCCCGTCAGCACACAAACAAGCTTTTGTTCCTCCCATCTTTAGAAACACTTATCTCCACTCACATCTCTAATTACCACCTGTTTCTCAAGCCCCCTTTACAGAAAAACTGCTTGAGGTATGGAAACTCTCTCTCTCTCTCCTTTCCCTGGTCCCATTCCTCCTTGAACCCGCTCAGATTAGGTGTTTGTCCCCTCATTCCACCAAAACTGCCCCTGGGATGGCCAGCAATATCCTCCCCGTTGCCAAATCCAAAGGCCCCTCCCCAGCCCTCATCTCCCCTCCTTCCCCCTGGTCTGCTCCTCCTCCCAGAGATGGCACTCAGAGCTCAGTCCCAGGGCCTCCTCTCTTCTCTGCTGACAGCCCCTTCCTAGCTGATCTCACCTGCTTGCAGGGCTTTATGCCAATAACTCCCCATTGCTACCCCCAGCCTAGACTTTCCTCTTGAACGTGAGATTCATGTATCCACCTGCTTCGTGTGCGTCTAACAGGCACCTCAAAGTCGACACATCCAAAATGCATCCCCAAGTCTCCCACTGCAAACCTAATGTTCCTCATTCATAAAATGGCAAAATTCATCCCTGCAGTTGCTTGGGCTAAAAACCTTGGAGTTACCCTAGATTCTCTTTCCTTCGCAACAATGTCAGCAAGTCTTGGTGGCTCTACCTTCAACATGCATGAGAACCCCACTTCTCACCAGGTCCACCACTACCTCCCAGGTAACAATGACCTGATTAAAAGGTTAGTCAGAGCATGTCCCTCTGCCCAAAGGTCTGCAGTGGCTGCCATGTCTCCCTCAAAGCAGAAGCCCACAGGCCCCTCCACCATCTCCTGGGCACCTGCCAGTCCAGTCTTCATTGTTCCCTGGACATGTCAAACATGTTCCCAGCATGACGTTCTTTGCATTTGTTCTCCCTGCTTGAAATGTACAGATCGCCTGGTGCTTCCCTCCACCCCAATCTCCTCAAATGTCACTTTATTTGTGGGGGCTTCCCTGACCACCCTAAATGTCAATCGTGCACTCTCCACTTTGGCACTCCCTCAGTTATTGTTCTCCAAAGCATTTGTTACCACCTGACCATACTTTACGCTTAGTTGTTAATTTTCTTGTTTCCTGTCTCCCCCTAAATCCCATGAAGAGAGAGGGACATTATTTTGCTTCCTGCTGTGTCCCCAGCACCTAGAACAATGCCTAGCACATCACAGATGCTCAATTAATATTTGCTGAATGAGTGAGTGAGGACTGTGTATCCACACACTGCTCAATGCTCCCTGCTCCCCCGGGGTCTGTCACCAACCAGGGGTTCCAAAGGACACACAATTGTCTCCCCTCAAGCCTGGACTAGCCTTTGGGGTTTCAAAGTGTTGTATAGGGTTTTCTACCCCTCAGGGAACCCGAAGGCCTGAGCATAAAATGCACCTTCTCTGGCACGGTCAGAGGCCGCAGCTAGCACAAGGGCTAAAGGACACATGTAGCAGGAGCCAGCCTGGAGACCAGGCTCTACCACACCACCCGGCCCAGGCCCCTGAACCAAGTACAATTCTCTGCTGGGTCACTGCAAACGCAAAATGAGGAGACAGACTAGGGTACATGTTTTTGCTTTGTTTTGAAGGGGAAACCCATTATGAGAGTTACAGAAAAATTAGGTTCTAGTTGTTTAACGCTTTCTGGAATTTCACAGGGTATACAGATCAAGCTGGCCTCACTGTAAACAGCATGTGGAGGACACTAAACAAACAGCAGATCTGATAAACCCCACCAGAGCTGTTAAATAAACCATCTAAGATAAAAGTCTTTGGCAGGATCAGTGAAAACACCTAGGGCTTCAAGGGGCCAGATTTGCTCTGAGCTTCAGATAGAATCAAAAGTTCTCTATAATCGCAACTTTTATAGAGTAATTTCAAGGAAAATATTTTCTGTTTCCATAGATGAAACAGTATTTTTGTACTCTGTAGGCAGTTTTGAGCATTATTTTATTAAGATTTTGTAAGAAAATACACTACTTTTCCTGAAATGCCTTCCTGAATTACTGAGCACGAATGCTTCTCATTAATACATTCTGGGATGAGGTTTTTCTTGTGAGAACACACCACCCATTTGGTCATGGAAAACAGGACTTTAGAGCTGCTTTCCGAAAGGCACAGTCCCTGCAGATGGGGCCCACCTGGAACCCGAGAGTCACCTACCCATCTGCCTCCGGTGCACCACCCAGAAGTTCCTATGCTCCTGCGCTGGGGCTGCCTTGCTTTTCCTGCTTCCTGGGGAAGGCACACATGCTTTGTCTAATGCCCCCAGGGAGCAGCTTTTTCTTGGTCCTTGAGAAAAATGCCTGTGGAGACCAGGCCTTGCCTCTGGAGGCCCTCTGGAAGAAGCCACGGGGCAATCTGAAGCTCTCTCTGGAGGTTGCTCCTGGGGAGGCCGGTAGAAGTCATCCTCTGAGATCCAGCTCTTGCTTTTCTGTTGAGAAAGAAGTAAAGACAGAGGTTTCTTTTTGTTTTAAAGTTTTTTAAAAAACCACTTTATTTATTTATTTGTTTGTGACAGGGTCTCGCTCTATCACCCAGGCTAGAGTGTGGTGGTGCCATCATAGCTCACGGCAACCTCCAACTCCTGGGCTCAAATGATCCTCCTGCCTCAGCCACCTCAATAGCTGGGACTAAGGCACATGCCACAACGCCCAGCTAATTTTTTCATTTTTTGAAGAGACAGGGTCTCACTGTGTTGCTCAGGCTGGTCTTGAACTCCTGGCCTCAAGCAATCACCCTGCCTCAGCATCCCAAACTGCTGGGATTATAGGTGTGAGCCACCTCACCAGCCAAAACCTTTATTTAGATATGACTCAAACACCTAAAATTGACCCATTTAATGTGTACAATTCCATAGTTTTGGTATATTCACAGAGTTGCACAACCATCACCAACAATATAAGTTTAGAGTATTTTCATCACTCCAAAAAGCAACCCCATACCCTTCTGCAGCCACTCTCATTTCCCCCTGACCACCCCAGCTCTAGGCAACCACTAATCTGCTTTCTGTCTCTATAGACAGGCCCGTTCTGGCCACTTCATATAAATGGAATCATGTAACATGTAATCTTTTGTGACTAGATTCTTTCCCTTAACATAATGTTTTCAAGGTTCATCCATGTTGTAGGTATGCATGAGTGTTCATTCCTTTTTATTGCCAAATAACATTCCATTGTATGATGGCCCACATGTAGTTTATCCACTCATAAGTTGATGGACATCTGGCTTGTCTCTACTCTTTTGGCTACTATTAATATAAATAATGCTGCTATGAGCATTCATATACAAGTTTTTATGTGGACTAATGTCTTCATTCCTTGGGAATATCCTAGGAGTAGAAATGCTGGATCATATGTAACTATGTTTAACTTCCTGAGGAACTGCCAAACTGTTTGCCAAAGTGGCTGTACCATTTTACATTCCTACCAGCAATGCATGGCGTTCCAATTTCTCCACAAACTCTCCAACATTTGTTACTATCTGTCTTCTGGATTATAGCCATCCTGATGGGAAGAAGTGCTATCTCATTGTGATTTTGATTTGCATTTCCCTAATGTCTAATGACATTGGGCATCTTTTCATATACTTATGGTTCATCTCTACATCTTCTTTGGAGAAAAATCTATTCAATTCCTCTGCCTGTTTTCTTTTCTTTTCCCTCCCTCCCTCCCTCCTCTCCTTCCTAGAAAAATCTATTCAATTTCTTTGCCTGTTTTCTTTCTTTCTTTCCCTTTCCTTTCTCTCTCTCTCTTTTTTAGACAGGGTCTTGCTCTGTCACCTAGGCTAGAGTGCAGTGGCATCATCACAGCTCACTGCAACCTCTAACTTCTGGACTCAAGTGATCCTCCCACCTTGGCCCCCCAAAGTACTGGGATTACAGGTGTGAGCCACCATGCCTGGCCCCTTTGCCCAATTTAAAATTGGGTTATTTGTCTTTTTGTTGTTGAGTTGTCATGGGTGGAATTGTGTCCTCCCAACAGACATGTTGAAGTCTTAACCCCTAGTACCTCAGAATGTGACATTATTTGGAAATTGAGTCTTTGCACATTTAACTTGTTAAGAAAAGGTCATATTGGAGTAGGGTGGGCCCTTTACCCAGTATGACTGATGTCCTTATAAGAAGAGGAGAAAAGACACACACAAAGAGAACACCAAGTGAATACAGAGACATGGAGGGACAACACCGTGTGATGATGGAGGGAGGGACTGGAGTGATGTGTCTACAAGCCAAGGAATGCCAAGGACTGCCAGCAATACCAGAAACTAAGAAAAAGGCATGGAACAGATTCTTCCCTAGAATCTCCAGAAGGAACCAACCTTGCTGACATCTGGATTTTGAGCATTTAGCCTCCAAAACTATCAGAGAATAAATTTCTGTTGTTTTAAGCCATACAATTTATGGTACTTTGTTATAGCTACCCTAGGAAACTAACACAAGTTGTAAGGGTTCTTTACATATATTCTGAATGCTAGACCCTTATCAGATATATGATTTGCAAATAATTTCTCCCACTCTGTGAACTGTGTTTTCACTTTCTTGATGGTACCCTCTGGAGCACAAAAGTTCCTCTGATCCATTTTGAGTCAATATCCGTGTCAGGTGTAAGGAAGGGATATGACTTTATCCTTCTGCAGGTGGACATCCAGCAGTCCCAGCATGCAGGGTTTTCAGCCCTGCTTCAGGGTTTGAGATGAGGGAGGGAGTCCTGGTGAGCAGGACGCAGGGGACTCGCCAGCTGCCTCTGCCTCTGCTCCCCACTTCTGTGCCAGCCCCTGCGCCCCAGGCAGCCAGGCCTGCCCTCTCCTTCTGCTGTTCTGAGTCTGAGGTTGCTCACTGGCAGGGGGAAGTGGGGGGTGTCTGGGGTCAATGGGCTGTGGGAATGGATTCTAGTTCCTTTTTTCTACTATTTCAAGCCCTCCCTGCCTTTCTGTGCCTAAACATGGAAAAGCGGAGGCAAGGAAGCAGGCTGGGCCACCCTACATGGCTGTCTACACAGAGGAAATGAGTCACACAGGGCGGGGCCAGCCCAGCTGTTTTGTTAAGTGCCATCAACCTCATCCTGACATTGCTATTTCCAACTCCTAAATCAAGGCTGTGTTCTTTGCTGTATAGACAGGAAAGAGAAGCCTGGCTTGGGCTGCTCCGTGAGGGTTGGTTTGGATGGTTTAATCCATTCCAATGCTACAAGACTCCTTAAGCCAATGGTGGTGAATTCTTTTTTTTTTTTTTAATAGGAGAAAATGATACAAATTTATTTAATTTAATGTATATACACAGGAGCCTTCAGAATGAAAACTCCATGAGTTCTGATTCGGCATCTAGGGGGGCCTCACAGAACTGAGGTCCTTAGAACTGGCAGGAGCTTCATTCTGCCAGTGACGGGATGGCGTGTCTGTCAGGGTGGCTACTGGGCGCTGCCTGCAACACTGGATTTTGAACAAAGCCTGCCTAGGCCATCGAGGCCGGGGACTCCTGAGGAAAATGGGCGGAGGAACAGCTCCCAGCAGCCACACACACACCTGGGAAATCGGTGAGCCCAAGCCCTGCTAATGGCCCTGAGGTGAGATCACTGTCCTTTAAGACTCAGCTCAGGGGTTATCTACCATCTCCTCCTGGAAGCTTCTCTCACCCACCCCCAGCCCACATCCCTCCTTCCCCCAGCTGGGCTGGATCCGACCAGGATTCCATGAGATTCTGTGCCCCGCACCCTAGCTCCTATAAGCTGCCTGGGATGGTTATTTTTCTTGGTATCTCCAGCAAGAGTGCCTGGCTCAGAGTCATAAAAGAGGAGGGAATAAATCTTGACCATCCAAATGTGTTTAATGTACAGTAACGAAGGTGGGTCAAGGGAACTGGAGGGAAGAAGACAAATGTGAATTTTAAGATTATGGATGTTCACTGGGGAGGGCTTCTCTCTCTATTGATGGCAGAGACTATTAGGAAATGTTCACACAGTCCATTGGCCACAGATCAGCCACCAGGAAATGATACTCTAGGGAAAACCTTTTGTTCTCTTAAGCCACAGGGAAAAACAGTGGGAACATAGGTTCCTTGGAGCTTCTGCACTCGGGCCTGGACAGAGCTCTGAGGCTGTGTGCCCTCCCCCAGGGGGTGGGCAGGAGAGAGTGTGAGAGCATGAGCACCACTGTTTCCCTCTTCCCTCCCTTCCTCCTGCCACCTTCCTTCTGCCTGCTCGCTCAGGGTCCACTGCTGGGTAGCTCCCTGTCCCTTTAGCAGTGGGGGGAAATCACCACTGACCAAAAATCTACATTGGAGCTGCACCTGCCACCAGGGACCCAAGACAGAGGAATGCCACTCTGAGGTACTACAGGTATCACGACACTGTATACAACAGCTAAATCCCAGAGAGCAGTTTGATTGAGGAGCAAGATGCCAGGTCTCTGGGCCACTGTCAAAAGGACTGGACTTTTTGTCCAGTCTGTCCTCAGTGGACAGACTGCCTGTACCCATAATTGCGGGAAGGGACCACATGCCATGGGGAGGTCCATGGGGACAGTGATTAGAATCAAGATTTATAAACTCAGACTGCCCTCTGGGAGTTAAACTGTGAATCCAACTCACACCCCCCAGCTTTGGGACATGCAGTCACCCTCGAGAGCTCTCCCACTCCCCACACCTCCCCTTCCCAGCACTCAGCGCAAGTATAATTACAATATGGAGACTTATTTGTCTAATCTAGGGTCTATCCCCATACTGTAGGGCTGTTATATCACTGTATCTTAAGCACTTAGCATGGTGGCTTGGCTCATAGTACGTTGTGTTCAATGAATTGAGAAAATTTTTTTTAAAGAAAGATTGAATGGTTCTCAGTGCCATAAAACTTGACAGTGGCCCCCAACATGCCCCCCAAAACAGTGTCAAATAAAAAGCACATGGCTAAGTGATGGAAGCACAGAAAGACGAGGACAGCAGGGGCAGATGTGCAGGACACACTGTGCACAGGCAGGGAGCCAGCATGCCTGTGTGAGCCGGCAGGCTGCACAGTGGTGTGCGGCGACTATGTGCGTGGGGGAACGAATAAATCCACAGCTCCCCTGGGAAACAGACGCAGGGAGGGGGCAGCATCCAAGGTTCTCACATGAGACTTGGTGCCAAGCAATTCCATGTTCCCTAAGCAACCCTCCAGCCATCATAGTCCCCTGAGGCCAGCAAGGAGGTGGAGCCTGCCCCAGTCAGACTGACCCGACCACCCCGTCCACTCAGTGGTGCACTTTGCAAAGTAAACTTGCTAGCTGGCATCTGGAGAGTCTCTTGACAGTTCAAGAACTATTATTAACTGACGCCTACTTTCTCCATGGTACAGTGCTTGGTGCTGATAATATAGAAGCGAAACGGCATGGTCCTTTGTATCATAGTGCTAACATTCTAGTAAGGAAGTTGGAAATAAGCAAGTAGACAAAGCGATAATACATAAGTGCACATAGTGATAAGTGTTAGAAACAAAGTAAAGCAGATAAATGGGACAGAGAGTCACTGGGATGGTGCTTTTTAAGACATGGGGGGCAGGGAAGGCAGACACAACAATGAGGAACAGAAACCAGTTGGGTAAGAGGGAACAGGAAACATAAAAGCCCGAGGCTGGAAGGCGCTTGCTTTGTCTAAGGAGCTGCAAGGAGGCCAGAGTGTCAGAACTCAGTGAGCAGAGGAGCTTTGCTGACGAGTTAACAACCCTGTCCCATCAGCTCTGGGGCCCTGGCAAGACAGGATATCTGAGCCTGTAAAGCAGAAGCCAGACCCTGAGCAGGAGTGAACTAACATGGTCAATGACACTCTGTGGTGCCCTGCTGGGGCACACGGCCACCCTCCCCAGGGGCCTCACTCTGCCTCCAGGTGGAGTCATGGCTGCAGAGCCTTGCTTCGACCTGCAGCATGGGTTGGCAGTTGCCTAGTCACAACCTCCGTAACATTCATCTTCAGGAAGTAAATCATCAGGATTTGCTTAAGCCATCTTCAGAATAGTAAATATGGAGAGTCTGACCCACTCTTACACAGTTACATGATCTATATGGTCATATTCAATAAATGGTGGTAGGTCAACCAGATATCCATATGGAAAAAATAAGAACTTTGACTGCTACCATACACAAAAATTAATCACACAGATCACAAACCTAACTGTGAAAGGTAAATTACTAATGCTTCTAGGAAAAAAAACAGAAGAATACCTTCAGAGCCTTGGGGTAAACAAAGATTTCTTAAACAGGACAAAAACCATGCAAACCATAAACAAAAAGATTGCCAAGTTGAACATCATTAATATTAAGAACTTCTGTTCAGCAAAAAATACCATTAAGGCAAGCCATAGACTGGCAAAAGATATTTGCTTTTTTCTCCAATAAGAGATTTATATCTGTAATATATAAAGAGCATCTGCAAATCAATATAGAAAACACACAAAACTGAGAATAATGACTTGAATAGACACTCCACAAAAGAGAATCAAAAATGGCCAATAAGCAAATGAAAAGGTATCAAAATATTTAGTCATCAGGGAACTGAAAATTAAAACCACTACACACCTACTAGAGTGGCTAAAATGAAAAAGATTGGCAACACCGTTGGCTAAAAAGCAACTAAAATGCTCATATATTGCCAGTGAGTGTATTTTAGTACAAGTGCAGTATCTGCTAAAGCTAAACATATGTCTACCCTAGGACCAAGCAATTCCGATCCTAGGAAACACCCACAGAAATGAGTGTGAGGTTCACCGAAAGGCATGTACGAGAATGTTCACCACAGCTTTCTTCATAATGGTCAAAGTCTGGAAATAACTCAAATGTTCACTAAGAAGAGAAATGGATAAATATATTGAGATATATTCTTATAATGGAATACTACAGAACAATGGAAAAAAACAAACTATAGCCTCATGCTATATGTGCAGCTGAATCTCACAGACATTATGTTCGGTGAAAGAAACCAGATGCAAAAGAATACATACTGTGTGGTTCCATTTATATGAGGCTCAGCAACAGGAAAGCGACGTATGGCGCTAGAAGTCAGAATGGTACTTTCCTTTGAAGGGGAGCAGTGACTAGGAGGAGGTATATGGGAGCCTTCTGGTGGGCTGGGATGTTCTGTATCTTGATCTGGATGGCGGCCACAGGGTGCACATCATATGTAAACACACTGAGGTGTACACCGAAGATCTGGGTACTTACAATACATCATTCCTCAAAAAGTTTTAAAGGGTGGAGTTGGACAATCCAATGGGGAAAGAATAGGCTTTTCAACAAATAGTGCTGGTACAACTGGACACCTACACCCACCATACACCAAAAGTAACTCCAAATGGATCGCAGACCTTAATGTGAGAGCTAAAACTATAAACTTCTTAGAAGAAATCATAGAGTAAATCTTTGTGACCTTGGATTAGGCAATAGGTACGTAGATATGACATCAAAAACACAAGTGACAAAAGAAAAAAATAGAAAAATTGGACTACATTAAAATCAAAAGCTTTTACGCTGCAAACAACCAACAAAATGGGAGAAAATATTTGCAGATCATGTATCTGCTAAGGGTGTGGTATCTAGAATACTGTATAAAGAACTATTATAACTCAGTAATAAGAAGACAATTTAAAAATGGGCAAAGGTTTTGAATAGACACTTCTCCAAAGAAAAAAAACAAATGGCCAATAAGTATATGAAAAGATTCTCAACATCTTTAACCAGGGAAATGCAAAACAAAACCATAATGAGGTATCACTTCTTACTCACTGGAATGGCTACACTAATTTTTTAGAAAATGAGGCAATAACAACTGTTGGTGAGGATGTGAAGAAATACATTGCTGGTAGGAATATACAATGGGGCAGCTGCTTTGGAAAATAGTTTGGCAGTTCCTCAAAAGGTTAAACATAGCTATCATATGATCCAGAAATTCTACTCTTAGTTATGCATAAAAGAGAATTAGAAACATGTCCACACAAAACCTGTATATGAAGTTGTATAGCAGTGTTATTTATAATAGCCAAAAAGAAGAAATAACCCAAATGTCTATCAACTGATGAACCCATGAAGTGTGATATATAGCCACACGATGGAATATACAACAAAATATTACTCAGCAGTAAAAAGCAATAAAGTAGTGATACATGCTACAACATGGATGAACCTCAAAAACATCAGGCTAAGAGAAAGAAGCCAGTCACGAAAAGCCCTGTGTTGTATGATTCCATTTATATGAAATGGCCAGAAGGCAAATCTATAGACAGAAAGTAGATCAGTGGTTGCCAGGGGTTGAGGGGAGGGAGGTGGGGGATGGGAGAGTGATGAGGAGTGATTGCTAATGGGTGAGGGGGTTTCTTTTATGAGGGATGAAAATGTTCTAAAATTAGGTTGTGATGATGGTTGTACAACCCTATGAAGATACTAAAAAGTACTGAATTATACTTTAATAGGTGAATTGCATGGTATGTGAATTACATCTCAAGAAATTGTTAAAAAAAACAAAACAGGGTATATGTGCCTCTGCCCATCTATTTCATGGCCCTGGCCCCATCCTGAGTTATATGATCTAGAAGCTATGCCCAAAGGAGAGATGAGCACGGATGGAGCTGACAAAGCAAGACTACACCCAATGTGATCCCTGGAATACAGCTGGGATAACACGGGGCTTTCGTGTGCACACAAACATACACATTCCTACCTCTGCTTTTCATGACCCTGTTTTGCTCTCCTTGGTGTAGTTTAACCGTGAAGCCCAGAAAGAGAAGCAGTCAGAGGCACTCAAGCCTGTAAAGGTATTTGTTGTCTCTCCCTTCATCTTGGCAACAACCCTGGCTGCACTACCTCTTCCCTGCCCTATGAAGTTTTTCTGTAGGTGCCCTGGGCCTTCTGGAGCAGCTGCCCTCCCTCACCCTGCTGGGGTTTGAGTTGCAGAAAGAGCAGATACCACATACATACCTTTTCTACCAACACTCAGTAAATGTCAATAACTTTGTCTGGGAAACTTCGAAGGCCACGCAAGAACAAACATAAAGGGCAAAAGAGCTCAAGTTCACAGCCTTTGGTGCTTCACTGGGCTAGTAGTTCTCAAGCCTCTTCACCCATGGCTCTCTCCAGGAGATGTCCAGGGATGGACTGGCTTATTCTAGAACAGCACTGTCTAATAAAAATACAATGCAAGCCACATACGTAATTTTAAATGTTCTAGTGGCCACACTGGAAAAAGTAAAAAGAAACAGGTGAAATAAATTTTAATAATATACTTCATTTAATCCAATATATCCAAAATATTTTAATTTTTAACATGTAATCAATAAAAATTGAGAGATTTTACATTCTTTTTTTCATATTAAGTTATCAAACTCCAGTGCTTATTTTACACAGCACATCTCAATTTGGACTAGCCACATTTTAAGTGCCCAACAGCCACGTGACTAGTGGCCACCACATGGACAGTGCAGTTAAAAAAAACCTGGTTCATGTTGCAAAATGAGTATTTTCAAAGCCTGGTATTTTATAAAAATATTAATTTAATAATAACTAGGACTAAGGAGGAGACCAAGGCTCAAAGAAGTGAAGTGACTTGCCCAGGGCCTTATGCTGGCGAGTGGTGTGATCAGGTGAGAATTATCTTCTTCAAGAGTAGATGTGAAGATGACAGGAGATATGTGTGGCAAGTGAGTAGCACGGTGCCTGGCTCATATCTACTATTCACATACCAAGAAACATTAGCGCCATCATTACAATGCTATCACCAGGCAGGAGGAGGGAGGTTAGTGGGGAGAAAGCAGAGACCCCTCAGGGTCACTAGCTGGGGAAACCCTGCAGTGGGGCTGAGATATTTCCCAAGACCTCCTCCCAAAGAGCTTGCACCACTCACCGGACTGGTGTGTGAGGAAGCCATAAGCTTCAGTCCAACTCCGTCACCCCATGGGGTCTTCTGCTGGCCACTCTCTTGGCTGACTGCTCTGGTCGTCTCTCTCACAGTACTAGAAGGCTGCTGGCCTGAGGTGTTCCCTGCAGGGACAGCTTGGGCAGTGTCCAGCTGCTTCACGTCCAGGGTGCCAGGTGCCTGGGAATGCGGCTCCTGCTTATGGCCACCATCTTGGGTTGCAGAGGCTGCATGGGCAGGAAAGGGCTCTGCAGGCACCTCATAGTGCAGGTGTGTGCTGGTGTCGAGGCCGTGGAGGGAGAGCGAGCCCTGGAGCATGGGGACCTCCGTTTCTTGGCTCATTCCATTGGTTGGCACAGAGTTTACCTGGGCTTTGCTGAATTCCGACAACACCCTAGAAGTTTTCAAACAAAGAAACCTGTGTGACAGGTTGATGGCTACAATGCCCAAGGCTACTGGGGCAGTGGTAAGAATGCAAAACTGCTGTTTTATGATTTAAAACAAACAAACCACACTCTCTTAATTATCCACTGTGCTCCCTCCTCACACAGCCCTCCTCTGACACTCCCCACCAATGGCTCTTTCCCTGGCCAGAACTCAGGCAGATTGGGTGGGCAGGCGGGTTGTAGAGCCCAGGATCTCAGGTGAGAAGCCTCATGCAGCAGAGAAAGAGGACTCAATGCCAGTGAGAACTGCCTGCCATTCTGAACAGGCTGATTGTAGGCCATGGAGTGTGGGCGATCATTTCCCCAGACGCTATCTGCAGCAGAGCCTCCGTGGAGAAAGTATCTCAAAGTGGGGCTCCTCCACAGCACAAGTAGCTGAGGCACTAAGATTCTGCCCCCTGGGTGAATCTGTCCGCTAGGTGAAGTGAGGGCTAAAGAGGTTTTCTAAGTGAGGACGAGCATTGTCCCTGGGCAGGAACTGGGACAGCAGGGTTGAAGGGAGGTGCAAGGGCTTGGCCCCTCAGAGCTAGACTGGGTGTGGAGACAGGGAAGCCTCATGTCTCCGGAAATTGCTGTTGGAGCTCAGTATACACAAGGAGTGTGAGGGCGTGCACAAGTATACATGGAGTGTACACCTACTCATTCCTCCTGGTGGGACTGCCACCCCTTGTCCCCTCAGTTGTGCTTCCTGGGGCCACAGGGAGCCAATGTTACTGCCTTTGCAGACACGCACACACAGAACACAGAAACATAATTCTGGGCTTTCTGGAAAGTGCATGGTTAGTGACTGCTCCTCACTTTCCTGAGGCTTCTGAGAGTCCAAGTCTAATTTCTAAAACAAACCCATCTGCTGCTGTCTCCTCTTCTGCTTATAAAACCAGTAGAATATGTCATGTACAAATGTAGGTTCAGATGGTAAGAAAGCTGTCTGGGTTCAAAAGACTGCATGTATCTGCTCTAATGGCTCAGACTAGGTCCAGAAGACACGTGAAGCTCCCCTTAATTTGGGCTCATGGAACTGAAGATTTTAGGACTCAAGTTACTTACCTGATGGTTTTCCCTCTGAGCTCTGCTCTTACCTACATCATCATAACCCCAAACAACATTTCAAGACGTTATAGTCAAGAATAGGTAACCAACCCAAATATTTATGAGCAATTGCCTTCAACATGGACATTAAGACATTTCGATGGGGAAAGAACAGACTTTGCAACAAGGGGTGCTGGGATAAGTTGATAGTCCCATGCAAAGGAATAAAGTCGGACCACAATCTCACATCACATACAAAAATTAACTCAAATGAATCAAAGACCTAAATGTAAGAGCTAAAATGATAAAACTCTTTGAAGGAAACAGAAGTATAAATTTCATGTCTTTGGATTAGGCAATGGTTTCTTAGATGTGATATCTAAACTATCAGCAACCAATAAAAACAGATAAATTGGACTTCATCAAAATTAAAAACTTTTGCGCTTCAAAGGATAAAATCAGGAAAGTGAAAAGAACCCACAGAATGGGGGGAAATATCTGTAAATCATATATAAGGGTCTAGTACCCAGAATATACAAATAATTCTTATAACTCAACAATAAAAAGACAAATGGCCAATAGACACATGAAAGATGCTGAACTTCATTAGCCATGTGGGAAATGGAAATCAAAACCACAATAAGATACTACTTTACACCCACTAGGATGGCTACAGCAAAAAGACAGAGAATAACAAGTGTTGACAAAGACATGGAGAAATTAAAATTCTTATACTTTAGTAGTGGGAATGTAGAATAGGGCAACTACTGCTGAAAACAGTTTGGTAATTTCTCAAAAAGTTAGACATAGAGTTATATATGACTCAGTAATTCCACCCCTAAGTATATACCTAAGAGAATTAAAAACATATGTCCACAAACTTATACATGAATGTTCATAGCAAGATCACTCATAGTAGCCAAAAAGTAGGGGAACAATGTCCATTCACTGATGAATGGATAAAGAAATTGTGGTATACCCATACAATGAAATATTATTTAGCCATGGTACATGTCATCATGATAGTAACATGAATGAACCTTGAAAACATTATATAATACTAAGTGGAAGAAACCAGTGGAAGAAACAAAAAGCCACATATTATATGATTGAATTTATATGAAATATCCAGAATAGGCAAATCTATAGCTAATAGTAAGGTGGGTTTCCTTATAGGGTGATGAAAAATTTTTTTCTTTTTACTTTAAAATTTTTGTTGTTTTTAAGACAGAGTCTTGCTCTGTCACCTGGGCTCGAGTACAGTAGTGTTATTATAGCTCACTGCAGCCTCCAACTCCTGGGCTCAAGTGATCCTCCCACCTTAGCCTCCTGAGTAGCTGGGATTATAGGCATGTGCCACCATGCCAGGCTAATTTTTCTTATTTTTTGTAGAGATGAGGTCTCGCTATGTTGCCCAGGCTCCTGGCCTCAAGTGATCCTCCCGCCTTGGCCTCTCAAAGTGCTGGGAATATAGGCATGAGCCACTGCGCCTGGCCTGTGAAAATGTCCTTGAATTAGATAGCAGTATATTCACAACCTTGTGAATGTACTAAATACCACTGAATTATACATTTTTAAATAGTGGGTTTTAGGGTACGTAAATCCTATCTCGATTAAAAAACAGGTGACCACACAGAGGCAGGCAGAAAGATGTTTGTGGAATAGTTATGGGGGGAGGCAGGCAGGTGCTGGTTCTTGCTCTAAGGTCTCACTTTAAAAACAGACTGACAGGCTGGGCGCGGTGGCTCA